GTTATGAGAATTTGCTCATTGCGAAGCAATCAAACATATTAGCCTCAGTCCTCAATTTTGCATTTATTTCACTCTTGTGCTGAATGATTTTAAATAGATAGGAGCTGTAAATATTGTTACATTTTATTTTTAAAGAAAGAATGCAGTAAATATTAATAATATAGCAAATATATATATATAAAGTATGGCAACGCTTAATGCTCTGTTGGGAATTCTCAAGATACAGAGTTCATATGGTTCTTACATGTGCTTATGTTTTTTTTTGGGGGGGGGGCGAATGATTTTTTGGTGCTTAAAAGTCTTTTAATTTCAGCCAAAATCAGCATAAGATTCTTAATTTTACATCATGCATTTCTGTTGGTGTTTTTTATGATTGTCATTTTTAGTCTGAATTAACATTTTGGAAGAATATTTTTTGGTAATTCATTGACAAATACACATTTGATGCATTATCTTTGAATTAATTTGTACTTCTAATATAAATGGTGCAAAATTTAAGTTTTTGGATAGGCATCAAAACAAACATTAATTTCTTTTGCGAATGAAGAGTTTATAAAATGCTACATCAAAAACAACTTTTCTCTTTATGAAAGTTGTTTATTATTTAATTTAGAGCTGCATTTAGTTGTAAAATTTAGAGATGCATAATAGAATAAACTATATTATTATGCATCTTTAAATTGGGCAATTTAAGACCGATTTGTATTCAGAAATTTTTATCCAGCAATTTCCATGTTTTTTTTACAAACGTAACAGCTTTGATAAATATCATTAAAATAATGATAACATATTAAATTTTAATTTAAGAAATAGCAAAAACATATTTATTTTCCTTTGTCGTATTTTATTTTATTATATTTAAAGTAATGTTCAGTAACGTTACTTATCCATTTTGGTGAATTAGGAATATTTTCATTCTGAAAACTAAATAGATAATAATAAATGCTATTAGCGCAGTTTTCAAAACACTTCTTATGCCCCAAAAAGATTCTGTAATTATTTTGAAATAAATTTAATATATATTTTTTTACTTAAGCAATATTTGTGCATTTAAATATTCTGAAATATTGTAATTATTTCAGAATATTTAAATGTTTATCAGTATTCTCTCTAAAATTCACTTTTCTCTCTCTCTCTCTCTTTTTTTTTTTCCACCAAAAATCTTACTTTTTATTCTCACACAGTTGGTAGGGATAATTTTTCTTTTGGATCTTAGAACTTGCACCTAGAAAAGGTAAGGAGGATTTGTAAGGCAAGATTTATTGACTTATAATTCCAGAAGATTCCAGAAAAATGCAACAAAATGAAAGATATGTTGATGGTATTAACATGTAAGGGATGTGTTTTACTGTTTAGTAGTGATGAATTTTGTATTTTTTGAAGAATGTGTGCAAGAATGGTGAAAATAAATTTTTTTGAATTTTCCGCTTTTGATCCTAAAAAGTCTTTCTCTTAAACATGTTTATTGTCACTTTATTTTCTCATCTTTTCACTAGACACAAGGTGTAAAATTGCAAAAGTGGTTCTAATCTTGTCACTTGAAAATTTTCCATTAAAAAAGGAATTGAAAACTCACAATGTAAAAGATTAATTATTTATGCTGTGTGTATCATATGCAGGGCATTTTCCCACCTGGTGCTAAATTCTGCTGTCCATTGCCTGTCCTAAATTCTAGACATTTTGCCATCTTTCAATTTTGTTACACATGCATTTATTTCGATTATTTTTTAATGTATTTGATAAATTAAATAAGAAAAAGTAGAGAAAGTGTTAATAAATACCAAAACTTGTAGGAAAATAATTTTTTATAAGTAAATATTTAACAGCTAAATGAAAGGTTGATCACATTCCTCTCTCTGGAAACATGAAATTCTTCCCTGGGAATTCCCCCTGGTTGAGAACCCCTTTTGTATCTGTTCTAAACATATGCATTTTTTTTTAGAATAACAGGCATCTTAAAATGAATTCTAAAAATTCTAAAATGAAGCAGAAACTTGCTGAAGAAGAAATTGGTTACATAAAGATAAAAATTATTCTTCAAAAGTATATTTTTGAAACATTAACAAATTAGGAGGGGAAAAGGGTGACAGGAACAATTATTTGTCTATTAAAATGGATTTAGAAAAGTTGCTTGGGGGGTATTTACAAGTTATTGTTTCAGATATTTTTCAAAAATATATGGAAAATATTCAAATTAAAAAGACAGATAATATTTTTTAGAGTGTTCAAACAAAATACGCATGTAATTGATATAATAATAATTGTCCTTATATCATTTTAGAATGATATAAAGGCAATTATTAATGTAATTATTTGTAAGGACAATTGCATATTAAAAGTAATTAATAATTATTAATGACAATTATTAATTACTTTTAATATGTAATTGTCATTATATCATTTTAGAATCAGTATTGTAAGTTATATATTTTTTTATCTGTTATTTTAAACTGCAAAATGCACTTAGATTGCAATTTTAATAGTGCTTTTTTAACAAATATTACACTTTTTTTAATAGTGACCATGTAAATTTATAATTTGCAACCAACTGTTTACCCTTAGAAGTTATCTGTAAGGCCAGTTATTGCTTTTCCCTAATCATTACTGTGGACACAAGATACAGTTCAAAAATGCAAAAATTAACCTAAAACTTTACAGCTTCTTATGCTTAGTGAGACTTAAAATAACACAAAACAACTTATCACCTTTTGTGTTCTGCAGCTTAATGAAACATTATGTTAGCTGGATTACAGTTCCAGCAACTGTACGTGAAGCTACAACACTAACTGGAACAAACTAACTTTCACCTGTTATGGATTGTGCCAACATCGCACATTTCAGTCTTGATATATGGATTTCTTGCCACGCGGTGGCAACAGTCAAGCTTTTGTTATCAATCATAGTGACTAAAATTTTCTTTCTCATTTTAACCCATGCTGTTTAACAAAAAATCTGCATAAACCTATTGGTTGATTGAGTACGTGATGAAAAAAGGGATAAAAGAATCAATATAAAGCTAGCTTATAGTAAAACTTTTAAGAGAGTATTAGTGGCATTTTATTTGAAATATGTGGAACAGTTTTAAAGAAGTATACTATATAAAAGTTTCAAGAAATTTTTGTAATTTAATGCTAATTACTTGATAACTTTTATGATGTTGATTTTATTCTCGAATTTGTTTTACAGTTACATTAAGTATTAGATTATGCTTAACAATAATATATATCCTATATAGAGATCTATTTTATTCCTATAATAGTCTATTATTTTATTCCTATAATAGTCTTAAAGTAAAATTTGGGCATCTTAAAAAAAATTTCTATGGGCAGAAATGTTATGAACCCTGAAGATATGCTGCTTTTAAGGATTTTGCCTTTAAATTTCATCTGGCATAAGTGCAAAGAAAGTTATGTTTAATAAGCATAGCTAAAAGACAAATAAAAATTTGTAACTTTACTAAGAAAATTAAATACTGATATCATGAATTAAGAAAAGACTGGAAAAAGTGTATGGCAACATTTAACATTCGAGTCAGAAATTCTAAAGGTAGGTTGCTTTTAAAATTTTTGTTGATTGTTAAGTCATTGATTTGTAAATCTAAACACTATATGACTAGAAACTATGCTGTGATTGATGCAATACTTTCAAATGAAAGCATGCAAACATGTGCACAATAATTATACATGTGTACATATAATTATAATTTTCCATTCAGTGGGAGAATAGAATAATAATTAAAAAAAGTAGTAGGTATAATTAACATTGTGCCATAATGTTTTTAAATAGTTTCAATTTGCAATCAATCAATTCCAAATTTAAATAACAGTGAGTTTAAATAAGTTTTATATTGTTGCGTGTGTACAGGCTCATAATAGATTGAATACACAAGTCTGATAAAAAGTTAATAAAATTTATTCTTATCACAAGAAATATAACAAAACGCTGGATTTATCCTTAAAGATATTCGTCCAATATCACAATATCATGCAGTAGTGATATTTTAAACTACTAAAACGTTAAATAGAATGTAATTCAAAGTGCAGAGAAAGCTAATCTGATTTCAGAATTATAGCAGCTAAGTAAACAACAACAATGTGGTAAACAAATTAAACAAATGCTGTAACTGAGATGTTTCTCTGCGGCTTTTCAAAGCTTATTAATTGTGCACGAGAATGTTCTGGTAATTTCAGTTTTCTCGAGATTTCTGGAAAGCAAAAGAGTAGTATTACGGCCACAGCTAGTAGTATTACGGCCACAGCTAACACAGTAGTCAATTACATTTATTCAGTTAAAATATAAATCACGAAATATCTATTTACTAAATGCGCTTGCTCCTGTATTTTTACTTTTTCAGCTTAGTTTCTCTTAAAACACATCACACAGTGCATTGCACAGGGAAATAATTTAAATTACAATTCTACTAAAAATAGCTAACTAAATACAAGTTCCATAACAATATTGTAACAATACTTTATTTAAAGCTCATCACTATTTGAAACATGTAATTGGAGGGAGGTCATGTGGTGGTCACATCAGATTATTATTATTAAATTTTAAAAAATTGTTTCTATGATTTTGCAATTTTCAAATAGAAAATTAAATGCTGTAACTTATGCATTTGTGATTTTATTTCTTGTATAACTTAAAAAGACATTTTAACAGATTTTATGAAAGAATAACATCCCTCACCCTATAATAATCCGTTTAATCAAGCATTTAATGTACTATTATATTACAATGTATAAGTAATGTAATATTTATAGATATATTTTCATATAGCACTCAGAAGGATTTTCAACAGTTAATTTTGTACCAAATGAAATTCTGCGATTTTAAATTGATTGTACATTAGAATTTGTTTTATAGTATACAGATTGTTAAAAGTTGTATGCTATTTGTATTTTTCAAGTTAAGTTTTATTCTATGTTTTCATGAGTAGTGTATGAGCATATGAAGATTTTTACATGCGTGTAATGTATATATTAAATATCTTATTTCAGGTTTATCCTCATGTATTGCCCCTCAGGTCATTATATACTCTAGCTATTGAAAAGATATTAGCTCGACTGCCATTTGGAAACAATTCAGCATCTGGAAGAAATGAGAAAACCCCTTAATCACATCATAAATTATACAGTACAAAGTCCAAGATATGAAATTGTTTAGGAACTTCAGCAATTCCATAAATTTCTGGATTTTAGATCATCAGTTTAAGTATAGTGAGATGACATCTAAAAATTGTATTAAAAATCTGAAACAGTAGTTTATAAAATAATGAAGCATTTATAATATTACAAAAATCAAAATTTTTAAAAGGTGGTCTTAATTTTGTTATTAATAATTTCTTTTAATGTAAGTAATAAAAAAAGTTTTTTTATGTTAATATTTTCTCTTTAATTTTATAGATAAACATAATTTTGCATTCACTTACAAAGTTCTACTGCTAAAATCCTGTAATTGGCATGTAAAGAATTCCCACTTAACTATCAGGTGAAATCTATTCATTCTCAAAAACATCTTTGTTGCTTTCTTCACTGTCAGTAGCTATATTTTTTTGGATTTAAAACCATCCTACAGATTTCACCACCCATTAGTTAACTCTTGATAAAGAAACCTTCATCGCTTTGGCAAACTTCTGTTATATCATTTTTATTTATTATCACTTCTCCACATTTGTTTACAAATGCCATTAACTGGAAAAGAATTCAAAATTTATGCCAAAATAAGGCTGTTATATTGCCTAATTTTGAAATCTCAATTTCATGAACTCAAATTGCAGCAATACTGTTTTCTCTTTCTGTTCCATTATGCATACTTTGCAAATCCTGCTACTGGGCAAGGATCAGAAAATCTTTTAGGAAAAAAATAAAAAATTTGGACTGTCATTTTAATAACATAACTGCAGTTATAATAACCTGCCCAAAATAATATACTGTATCAAATTAAAGAATGTTGGAAGAGTACAGTTTGCTATGTTCATTGAACTTAAGATTTTCGGAAGCTAATTCTCTCTTTCTTCTTCTCTCCATGGGTATTTAGAAAAAAGTATGAGCTACATCCTATGTCAAATATGTCTTTCACTTACTGTTTAGGTTCAGATAGAAAAATACGAATGCCTTAATATTCAGTGTGTGGGGCGACTAACATTAATTAGTGTACAAGCAGCAAGTATGATCCCTAGCCAACAGGAGTTTGAAAGTGGGATAGAAGACTTATTTCTATTATTTTAAATTCTTGAATTTTGTATTAAAAAAAAAAAAACAAAACCAGTAGTCCTGAGATCCAGATTTCAGACTTTGTACTGTAAGTAACTTAATAAAATATATTTTCATTTGAAATAAAAATTTTGGTGATGTGTGTGGGAAAAAGTTTTATAAATCTGTTGCTTTTACTTTTGTTCCTTTTATTAAAAAATAGCTGCTTTCTCCCAAAAAGTGTCATAAATTCTATCTTTAAGAATATAATTTAATATTTTTTTATATGCAAAATGTGTAGTTATTACAGAAGATTTATATTGAATTCCTTAAATGACTGTTTTCTGGAATTTGCTATGTGTATGCAATTTTTATTGTTGGAGCTCATCTTACAAAGTAAGACGTAATTATAATTCTGTGGTTTGAAAGTGTATAATTTTCTGTATGTGTAAAATATTGAGCTTTCTTTGTATAGCATCGTATTATAAAATATTTGTTTTTCTGTCTTTAGGCATTTCTTAAGCATTTATGTTATGTTTCATTTCTTTTTTAACATCGTATTATATTGTTTTCTTTTCGTATGGGTTCGTAATAGATTGAATGCACAAGTTTGATAAAAAGTTCGTAAAATTTATTCTTATCACAAGAAATAAAACGAAATGCTGAAATTTTCTCTCACAGATATTCGTACAATATCACACAGTAGTTATATTTTAAACTACTAAAACGTTAAATAGAACACAATTCAAAGTGCAGAGAAAGCTAATCCGATCTCACCGTGAATTTGCTGCAGTCAACAACAACAAACAAGTAAACAACTAAACTGAGATGTTTTTATAAGTTTTTTAAATCAGTCATGAGAATCTTCTGGTCTTTTCTCGGGGTTTCTGGAAAGCAAAAGAGTAGAATTACAAGATATTTATTTATTTAATGCACATGCTCCTGAATTTTTACTTTTCTGGCATAGCTTTCTCACAAAATAAGTCTCGTGCTGCATTGTACGGGGATATAAAACAATTTTAATTATAATTCTACTAAAAATAACAAATTAAATACAAAATTCATAACAATATATTTACTGTGACAAATTTCTGATTAATGTAAATACATTCAAGAATAAATCAAGGAGATTATTTGGAAAAGTATATAAAAGAGTAAGTCATATACAAGTTTATATGCAGCTTTGGTGCTTTGCGGTATCCACATTCCCATGAACAAGCTATGAAAAAGTATTGATGCAACATTTAGTCCAAAGTGAAGCATAAGAGGAATGTCAAATTTGGAAATTTTATTGTTAGAGCGAATGATTTTAATCTCGTAAGTTTTCTTTTTTCGTTATTTTGTAATGGTTTCTTTTGACAAATGTACTTTTTTGATAAGCAGAGATAATGGGATTGTGTTTCCCATTCAGTCATGTGCTGTCACTATATGTTAATTTTAAAACTGCATTTTTAAATGTCAAAAACAGACTCCTGTTTGACTTCTGTGCTGTAGGTCTGCAATGTAGCAGAAAGCTATGATTTGGGCATTATTCTGATTTTGTACATCTTTCTGAATTTTTTGAGGCAAAAACCGGTCAGAGTGCACAAGGTTAGAAAAACAGTAATGTACCATGTAATATAATATATGTAATGTTTAATGTGGGTGATTCCGAATTTGTGCAATTCTCATACTTTTTCAAGAGAAATGCTTTGGATGTGGGGAGAGTAAGAATAATTATCGTATTCTATTGTAAGCATAATATAATCCTTATTTTATTATTCAGAATTCTATTTTTAAGTTTTATTTTGAGATGCTGATAATGTTTGCTGATTTACAATAAATATTGATAGTTTGGCAATCGTTTTTAAAAAAATTCCCAATTGTCAACTTTGTCCTTATAAATAACTTTTACCAAGTATTTGTATCAATCCAGTTATGTGCATAGCATCGCCCCATGACTTCAGCATTATGTAACTCACATAAAGGTCTCATACACTTCTTTCCTGTAAGTCACTCATTGTTGTCACAATGGTCAAAGGTTTGCCATAAATTTTTAAACTATTCCAATAAACTGTCAAGTTCAATATTTGTACACATGCTGTTGAATGTAAATACAATGCAATAAAATGATTTTTTTAAATTTAATATTTAAATGATTTTTCTCACATATCCTCATTTAATGAACATACTAAAAATATCATTTTTTAAATTCATCTTTGAAATTAAATTTATATGAAATTTATAGTAAATTTTTTAACATTGCCCAATTTTTCATCTGTTTGACGTCTATTATTTTAAGTTTTGAAACTTTTACAGAAGCAAATTCTATGCTCTCTTTTAAAACAAGATTGATAAAAAAATATTAAGTTGGTGATTTGTTACAATATTTTTTAGTTTTGCTGTGTGAAGCAGAAGGGAGAAAAAAATCAAACATTCAAGTTATGATGCTTATTGCTTCTGTACAGATTTCTTTGCTTTAACTATTCATTTTATTTTATTAACCTAAAAAGTATTTGCAATGAAATCTAATGTTTTTTTTTTTTTTTTTTTTCCTTAAATTTATATGCATTTTTCACAGCATTTTATTTTGAAAGTTGTTTTTCTTAAATTATTATGTGGTAGGTAAAATTATATTCCTTTATGGCATTGTTTTGCATACTTTTTATAAATTAGAATATTTTGTGGACCACCTTATTACTTCCCCTTTTGAAAGCAATTTAAGTAACAGTAAAAATTTGTCTATCCAGAAAGTTCGAAATACCGAATTCCGGATAGTTGAGCATGTGAAAAACAGAATTGATGTTAGAAAAGCCAAACCAACAAGGAAATATTCTGTTCCAAAATTATGAAAGATATCTTATTTTTTTATCAACTTGAATATTAAACTCTTATATTTAAAATTATATAAGATTTTTGGGGAAGGAGAATTTCAATCATGAAAGCCGATATATTTTGATTATTATAAAAATCTCATCAAACATGGAATTTGCAGGCGATATCAGCAATCATTCCAGTATAAATTTAAATGAACAGAGAGTTCTTTATTTAGTTAGATAATAAAGAGATACAAATTATGGATATAGCATATAAAAAACTTAAATTGCTTGTAATTGGTTACACTGCTATTGTTTATCTGTTTTCGTATCGTGGCTTTTTTTTTTTTTTTTTTTTTTTTTTGGATGTCCACATCCTGTAACTGTCAAAATACTCCACTTCATGCAGTCTCAAATAATAATAATTTTTTTCAAAATGTGAGGAAAAAATAGAATTTATGTGCAAAACTTAAACCAGCTTCTCAAAACTCAATCGAATTAACATTAAACCGAAGTCATTCTTATCCGTTATTAAACCATTAGTCATGCTTATCCATTAATGGTGCTGAACTGTTCTGTTTGGGGACAATTTATATGTATTACTAACATTACAAGCTCTGTAATGGCATTTCAAGTTTCTGGTTTACTGATTTGAGGGGGGTCTAAAATAACTAAATATTCCGGTTAGTTGAATGCGGTATCGTCGAATTTTACTATTTATGTTACTGTCAGTGTTCATCTGATTATTGTGAACTACATAAATGTAAGATTGCTTAATTTGTTTATTTGATGGCTGAATCATCAGTTTGCCCCCCTCCCACTTGAAGTTGAGATGTTGATGCATGATTTTTTACTTCTACTTTTTGCATGTGGAAACGAGAGTAGTGGTTGATAGAATTTTGTGATAAAGTGTGGTATAGTCCTCGATAAGTCGACGGGTGCCGAGGCTACTAATACTCCTCTTGGAATATTCCGTTACCCCGTAGCAGAAATTTCTGTTTTCAGCTTTATATTCAGGAAGTAGAATTTCTGTTCTTGCTGGTATTGTAATATTGTCTTGAGCCATGATTTTGTAGACAGATTTAATTCCTTCATCATTAATTCCGAATAGGTCTGTGTCTTCAGAGGTAGAATGCTGTTCGTTATTTTTCATGTCCAAGGAAAAATTGTATAAGTCTACTCTGAGTATGCAAGGATTTACCTTGCCGTGTGATGGCAGGTGGCAATTCGTAACGTGTCATTAACGTTTAATATTCTATCTGTGTGGTTGTTCTCCCGGGCACTGTCTGGCGGGTAACACAGTTTGCCCGCGAGATGAGTTTACCTTCCATTTGTTCAGACAAATCTTTTTGAATGATGGTAACATTAGCTGCTGTATCGAACGTTATATTGGAAAGATCTTATATGTCCCATGATGAAAAGTCTATTATTGCTGTCACTCGTTGCAGAAATCAAGCACTTGAAATTGGGGCTTCTCATTATCCTTCAAACTCCACTCCGTGAGATAGCCCTAATTTGTTTCTTGCGACCTTTGCTGGGGATCGATCTTTTTTTTCGTGCCCTGGGGAGTTCTGCTTAGGTCGACTTTCCTTCGTACGTGAACTTCACCAGTGCAGTTCCAACATTTGAGGGTGTGGGTTTCTTGTCACACCAAATTCCGTATCAAGGCATCGACTTGCTTGGTTAAATCGTCTAGACGAACAGTCACCTGCTTTTGGACTTCAGTAGCTATGATATGATTAGGTGGCAGTTTCTACTAGTTGCTTGCTGGGCTGCATTTAATTTCATGGCGTACAATAGAATGCTTTTTAAATCCGCCATTCTCATTGCTTTCTGTATCCTGGATGCCATCGATGAAGTACTACAGAGACAGTATCGTTTATTTTGGGCAGTCCAAAAAGAGCGACAATTGGCAACCTTTTATGTTTCATTGCGAACTCCTGGTGTGTTTTGGTCGAATACTGTTGGCAAGATTTTAACTGAAGCCTCCTATAGTGTTTTAAACACTTCTCGCCAAAGTACAGCTCTAACGTGCCAGGTAGATCTTCAAAGTCTAGCCTCTGGTTTTCGGGCAGAGTTTGGAGGATCAGAAAAGTGGTATGACGGCAGGCTTCAGCTTCGGAAACCCATCCATTTGCATTTACCACTATAGTGAACTGCATCTTATACACGTCCCAGAAGTCTTTCCATCATATGTGGATAGTTTCAGAAGGGGGGACAATATATGTTCAAATTTAAAGGCCTTATAATTGTGGCCAGGATTATAAAGTTCTTTAAACTTTTAGTTTCCTTGGTGACAGTACCAGCAATCCTTTCATTAACTTGTTGTTGAACGTCAGAAACAATTTCTTCAACTTCTCCAGCTCTAAGACTGTCTTCCATTGCTTTAATCTTTTTAATGGCAGTAATTTCTTCTTTCATTCCCTCTTGACCTTCTTCAATCTTTTCTGAACTGATTTGATGACCTCTTCTATCTTTTCCTATCTGCCTTCAACTCTCTTGAATCACTTTCTTCTCTTCTTTAACAGCTTTAATCTCTTAAACGGATCCTGGTCTTGCTTTCACCTCTTCTTTAAATGCAGCAAAGGCTTAATTGCTCGTCCTTCGCTTTTATCACTGGCATTCAACCACACTCCTGACTCTTGGAGACTTGTACGCGTTCCACAAAAATAGCGAAGCAACTCTTCACAGTGTCACAAAGTGCAATCAGT